AGTCTGTCCCTCCCCCAATCACTCGGTCAGTGGTTCCCGACCTTTTTTAAATAGCGGACTGGCAAATCCATTCTCATAACTTTTGGTAGACTGGCAACATTTTATTTGCATATTCATTATGCAAATACAGAACATGCAAATACGCAAATAATATGCTACTGGTCCATCAAAAGCCCCAGCCCCCAGAGTCACCACAAACAGCCGGCTTCAGCTCCAGCAGTCGCCCGCCACGTGGCGGCTGCCGGAACTACTCAGGTTCGCAGCGTGGCACAGGTCCATGGCCCAGTGGCTGGGGCAGCCGGCCGTGACAGGCATAAGGCTCTTGCGCAAAACAGGGGTTTTGTGCAAAAAAAGGGTCCACGCTGCTTCTTTTTGCGCAAAACCCTCTTGCACAACAAGAAATGGCAGAATATGCTAATGAGATCACGACTCATGCTAATGAGTCCCTCATTAGCATATTTTCTGCCAAAAAAACTTGCAAAGCCTAACCTACATGTCAGCAGCCCCACAAGCCCAGCAGCACACGCAGGCTACTCCTCTGCCCCACGAGCCCCTCCCCCTAACTGCCCACGGCCCCCAGTGTCATGGCCTGGTCACAAGCCTCCGGCTTTGGCCCTCAGACCACGTGCACACGCCCCGCGACTGGCCCAGGAGCGTTTCCTTGTGGCATGAAAAATGTTTCTGTGGAGTCCAGAGCTTGAGCCAGCAACTGAGCCCTGACAAAAGCAACTGGCTGCCCCCGCTTTCCACAGGCAGCTTTGGGAGCCAGCCCTGATCCCGAGAGACTCGTGCAAGGAGAGCTACTTCCGTGTGACCCTGTCTCGCACGCAGGCGCCACGAACCACCGCTCACCTTTCTGGGGGTCCTTCAGACTGGCGCCCAGGTGCTCCACCGCCCGCTCCATCTCCTGGCTGCTGCAGACGTTGAGCTGGAGAGTTCTCATCCGCTCACTCTTCATATTGTCCAGCTCTTGGGACCCTGCTTCCCCTTTGTCCTAGGCAGAGGAGAGAAAGCCCTTCCCGTGGAGTCTGTGCAAGGAAAGGCCAAACACACGGGCAGCGGCTGACAGAACCCCTAGGAGCAGGGTTCCCTCTGAGCCGCACGCTTGCCTGGGTGCAAAAAAACCCACCCCACCCACCTCCTACGCAGAGCCA